TTAGATCTAGCCGTGGATAAAAAGGGAATTATTGTAGACACTCTGGAGCTGAAGATGGCAGATGCAATATGACCGGCAAAACACGGAGGATTGTTGAATTGCACTCGGTTTAGTTTCCTTGGTAACCTGAGGGAAATTAGCAACAGTGAGTGCAGAAAACTCCTGCCGTATAAATAGCATTGGCAAGGTCATGAAAGTGACCTTTTAATTTTTATAAGCTAAGTGTGCCTGTGATTCATCTATTGAGTTATATAAGATACAAGAAGAAGAAAAACATAGGATGCAGAGATATGGCCTCAGCATTTGGATGCAGTGAGATCATCTGACAGCTGATAACATGAACTCTACGTGAACTTATATTTGTCTCCATCTGTGGAGCTCTGGTGGTCTGCACTGCACCTGTCAATCAAACACTCAAGTGTGTTCAGGCCCGCCCAGAGAACCAGCACTTCCTTTACTGTGTCTGCACCAGATTATTTGTAAACATCATTAGAACTGTATGGGATGTTAAATTTTTATTTCACCTGTCACCTGTCCAATTTCAGATGATTTCGTAATTGATTTAAAAAGTCCTCCTGACTAATCTCATTCAAAGTGAAGACAAAAGTTTTACACTGCCACAATCAGGTGGTCACTGTTTACAGATTACAGCCACCCAGCACTCACACCACACACCTAGTCACCTAGTTACACCTGTGTGTGCGTATATATGTATATCTATATATAGATATATATAGATATGTTTATGTATCTATATATACATATATAACTGTTTATCTAACCTTCAAATTGATTTCCATTGCCTATTTGTTCTATTACACAGAGTATTGTCTGTAGCTTCTCCATATACTGATACATCTACATGGCTTTATTCTTACAGATTCCTCAATAAAAATATTATGCACACTTAAAGTAAAAACCCAGCTCTATTTCTACTTTGAGTGTGATATTTTTTCCTCTACCTCAGTATTTTTTTCTCTTGTCACAAATGGACATAAACATGTCCATTTGTCACCATTTAGCTATTGATTGATCTGCCTCTCTGGCAGCGGATATTTTGACTTGTCAAACACAGGTGTAACTAATAACATTAGCAATGGCTGCATCCCATTTAGCTGTTTCACTGTAATGATGTGTCAGCTGTTTCAGTATTACCACGCGATGTGAGTGTGTGCTGTATCTGGAGCCGGTTCAGTTTTACAAATGGTTTTTGAGGGTGACCTATCACTTTAAGAGTGTCAGAGCCCCTCGATGGGCTCCTCATCTTTTTTCTCTCACAACATCTTTCTTCTGCCATGCATGGCTTGTTGCCGAGGTAACAGGCCTGAGAATGGTTTAGCATTTCCAGCAGTGCCTGGTGAATCAACTCATGCTGACATGCAACTGACAACAACACGCTGTATGACTGGCTCAGGTATTTTCTCCCCAAAATGTCACCAGAGTCACCAACCACCCGGTGCTCTGGTATACTCTTATATGGGAATCATATCAAAGGTACCATACATGACATTATGTTTAGCTGCTGCATGTGATAAGCTGTGTGTGATCAAGATGCTTTGAGTTGTTAATACAGAAAATCAAAGCTGGTGATGGAAACGCTCTTGTGTGCTGCTACAGTCTCTTTCCAGGTGTGAGTGTTGTGATGTTTGGAACATTACTGTGTCTCTCCAGCAGAGGACAGTATGCGTGTGCATGTACATGTTTGTCTATGTGTACATTTATGTGTGAGTGAATGTGTGTGTGTGTGTGTGTGTGTGTGTGTGTGTGTGTGTGTGTGTACATTTGTGTATGCATGTGAGTCATATCACCCCACATGGCTATCAAGCGTTTTATTCAATTCAGTTTATTCTATTCTACAACAAGCAGCTGCACAGACAGCAACTATGACTTATTGACTATATTTAGATTCACCGATTTATTTCAGCTTGTCTAAATGCACAGCAGCAGCAGCAGCAGCAGCAGCAGACTTTTCCGTTACCTGTTTTCTTCTTTTTTTTTGATTGACCAGATCATTACTGAGCTGCTGCTCCCCCACTGACTGAAAGCACATCAGTCAAATCCTGCCTGTCTGAATCTGCATTTGTATTGCCCCCTTGCTATTCCTGCTGTCTACAGGTAATCTGTCTGTTGGCAACTAGTGGCTGTAAAAACAAAGAAAGGGTTAAAGGAGAGATCTGGGTTACCAGCTAAAGGACAGGCTGTTATTCAGTTATTCAGCCCTCCATTAATCATATTTATGATGAACTGAGTTGCAGATTTGGTTGACACTATTTCTATTTAGGGTGTGACTTTAATCAAAGAGGCATGAACCACAGTGTGTGTTGTACAAACTATAATACTACCATATTAATTCATATCACATCACATATCATTTTTCCTAAAACACGGGCTGACAGTGTTGTACTAAGGTTAAATTATTTTTCAAATAAAATATTCACAGCTACCTCTCAACCTGAAACGATTTGCATACCTTCTTCTACATGGACTTGATCAATATGCATTGTCACTCATTGTGCCCAACCAGGACACACTCAGGCCTGGCAGTAGGCTGAGTATGATGCAACATCTTGCAATAAACAATGTGCTGTAAGAGTGTGTAACCCAGAGGCTAGCAGCGCAAGTAAAACCCAAGTTCAGAGAAAAAAGAAACACATTTACACACGTGCAAAAACAGTTTAACAAAATAAAAGGTGATTTTTTTTCTCTTGTCCTTCATGCCCTTGCTGTAGGCTGTTTCCTACCTGCCTGCTTTGTTGGACTTGATGATGGGCCTGAGGGGCGCCGGTATTGAGATGACCTGCCTCATCGATCACCTGTCACAGGTATGGATTAGAGCAGGGATCAATGGGACAGCTTTCCAGTCAGAAGCATAGCAAAGAGAGGCAGTGACTGCTTGATAATGGTCCGACCCCTGAGGTCCAGTGGTCTGTTTTGATCTGTGTGTGTGTGCATGTGTGTGTAGTTCCTCTGCTGCTTCTTAAATCAGGGTATGTGCTGGGTTATCAGTCAGCAGGTCTCCCTGATGCTCTTTTATCCTGTCTTCAGCCTGTCTGAGAATCCGCCACAGGTACCTGATACATACACTTTTAATTTCATTTCAATGTCATTGTTATATTGCTTATTAAGACTTCAAACACAATCTTCTATTATTTTTCAGTTCATTACTGCTGTAATTAGTAGTTTACAAACTCAAAGAAATCCAACACATGTGCAGCGAACATGTGGGAGTCTGCAGTTGCTCATTTTTCCAGTCAGTAATCGTGTCATGAAAGCATCACCATCAATTTAATGTTCTACTTTATCTTCTCAAAAACATGGAAAAGGTTGACAAAACATTGCTGAAAACATGACAGACACTTTATCTTCAACATTTCAGCTCAACCATGTCTTCTCAAATCTTACTCTTATCGCAGCTCTTTATTGCAATAAATCAGAGAAACAAAACACATTATTAGCCATTTTTTTAACACATTCTTCTAATGACCTTTGTCAACAAAGCAATCTGTTATGGAAATAACAGATAATGATGTAAAGTGGCATTTTTTTCCCTTTCGTCACTGGTTTGCTGCCTCATTCAGTCAATCTAAATCAAAATACAAATTTACATTATTTAAAATATTTATGTGTAGTCGGTGATTTGTACACTCGCTTCTTTCATGTATTACATTTAGAAAAACTCCGACAAAGAAAACATGGACACATGTTAGAAGGAGTTACATTTGTCCATTAAAAGACATCTCCAAAGACTGTCCACAGTATGTGGTGCTGAAAGAACAGCTCCCAAAGAGATCCATGTGAAGTATGTGGCACAATACAAGAAGAAAAACAGTAAACAAAAAAATAATTTTGAAATGCGATGTTTTTGATGTTTATAAGTAAGTTTCTGGTTTGAGGTGATCTGGAAAAATAAACCTGCCCACTGTAAACACTGAAACTACAACAGTCATTTGAAAAGGCTGGTTATTTCTACCAAAGTGCACAGTCCAAGCATTCTCTGCACACACACACACACACACACACACACACACACACACACACACACACACACACACACACACACAAACACACACACACACACACACGCCGTGTATCAAATCCAATTTATGGCTGGACTGATGTTTTGATTTTTTAATTCTGTACATCCAGTCAACACTGGCCATATCTTTACATTTTCTTCACACTTTATATTGGTAGCAATAGTGTGCGGGGGAACTACACAGATACAAAAAACTGTTGTACAGTTAACCTGCAAGAATATGTGATTTTTTAAGCATTTATTGATTAATTAATCCTTCATTTTGATGTGCTGCTTTTATGAGCTTCTTATCCTGTAAACAAAGTCATACATCAGTATTTGAGTGGGGAGTGTTAGAGTCTAATTGCTGTGTTAAAGGCTTTCCCATCCCAGTAAATACACAGGTCCGGATTAAATACTTAATTTTTCAGTGTGTGAGCCTAAGATAATTAAGGAAAATCAAGGTTCTGGTGAGCATCAGCACAAATATCAAAGTGTGTTACCCTAACTGATTAAACCCATATAATCTATTACAACAACGCAATGATTGTTTTGCATAATCAATACACCACTATGTATTGACTGTGAGTGGATACAACATTAATTAGCATCTTCACTTGTCAAGGTCTCAGCTGGAGGCTGCAGGAGGAGGCTCAGTGCATACCAAACTACCTTTAGGACCCAGTGTCTCTCCTCCTCAGCCTTTGTAGTTTTTGTGTGGAGATGAGGGAGACTGAGATGTGCTTCTTGCTTATCACGATTCACATCGAGCTTCTACACAAGCTGAGGAGGATGCTGAACAGGGCAATTTGAAGCCAGGATCAGCTCCCACAACTGCTTGTTTTTATTTTATTTTACTTTTTATTTATTTTTTGTTTAAATTTCATTTATTCCGTCCATCACATTGCTTATTATTTTTTTTATAGTCTGTGTATTAAATTTGGGGACACTGTGAAAGCCAATGCATTCCGGGTGCATTCCTGCTGCTGGCTGGGACTATGATTTATCAATGCTCGCAGCTTTGTTCTCATGACAGACTTGCACTCGTCCAGTCTCATCAGACCAGGAGAGAGCGGTGAATTCTCCTTAACTTTCCTGCATCTTCGACGATTCCAGCTGCAGCAGGTACTTTCTGCACTTGAGGTGAGTCTGTTTTTCTGCCCACTCAGACACAAAGGAAACGTTTATTTTATTATTATTTATTATCTGAGGAGACGCTGGAAAGCGTGGGAGAGGAGCTTGATCTCACCTCCACATTTTTTTTGTTAATATTGTTGCTTATTTTCTGCGTTAAAGGTGTTTTTATCGTCTAAATTGGCTTCAAAACGGTGTTCTGACTTGATCCAATATTTTTGGTAACAGTAATGTTCAGTGAGTGGAGGCGTGGGACGTGTCAGTGAATACTAATTACTGTCAGTTGCTTGTCTCTCCTGCTTCTTTTCCTCCGTCTAACCCCCCCCCCCCCCCGTGTTAAAGGGAATCCCCAGAAATAAGTGATGGATATAACGACTGTACAGGTCACATACAAACCCAATGGCATCTCAAACCCGGTTAAATAGATCCTCCATTCATTACAGCGGCTGTCCTGTTGTGTGTAGGTGTTGAAGCAGCCATGTGGAGCAGAGAGAGCGCTTCTCTACTTCTCATCTGCCTGCTGGCGCTCACAGCTCTCTGGAAAACCAGGTGAGTCTTTAGAAAAGGAGACGCCTTGAATGATACAGATGTAGGCCGAGGATCACTCACTTTGTCTCGGGGGACGGACTGGAGGTCTCTATTTATCTAGTTATCTAGTTTTTTTTTTTCCTCCACTCATTATCAGTGGACACACAATGTGCAGGAGTGTAGACAGTTACCGCCTTCAGCACCCTCAGTCTGACCATAAAAATAACCTGGAGGGCATGTGGGTAATTATGTACTGCCTTGTTGAAAATATAGCCTATCGCAGCAGGCCTGCCATTCTCAGTTCTTATGGTTTACGAGGTTATTTCATTTTACAAATCCCCTAGATACACACAAAATAAATAAATAATTCCTCTATAACAGGGTACTTTTAATTTTCAATACCCTATTCTAAATCAGGATAATACAGTTAATGTCAGTACTGAAAAGCAATATTGTGAATAAATGGCTTTTTTTCAAGGGGACAACAACTATCAAAAAAATAGTCTTTTTAAAAAATGTAATAAAAATTATTACTTTTAATAATATTTCTGAACATTTCTCCAACCCGCTTTTCACCTTCATTTTTACTAAACCTGGGTGCCTTGGTTTCTCACTGCTTTTTAAAACACCTGAGCAGAGGACATCTCACATTGTCGCATCAGGTGTTAAGGTGTCTTTTGATATAAACCAGAATCAGCTGCTCACACCGAGGACAGTTGTCATCACAAAGACAACCAGTGTAAGAAGCATGAGAGGTCATTTAGATAAGGTCACTGAATCCCTCTTTAGGCTCCATCATGATCAAACCGATGTACAGCACAGATTCTGAACATTTGTCTGAGAAAGGCCTTTTTTTCCAAAGCAGACATTTTGAGATGTCGCAATAAGAAAAGTTCAGGTGTGAATAATAAGATCATTATAAAAATATGAATTCTGTTTAGCTGCTTCAGTTGTTATAGTAAATGCTGGCTCACTGTCACAAACCGAAGAACTTGAAAGCAACAGAGCCATCGTTAATATTATTAGTAACACCTGTGCTTTCACTACCATGACAAATCAAGAGGTCTGATTTGAAAAAAGTCTATTTGCACCATCTCAGAAGAAAACCTTCCTTTAGCATTCACACATTAATTGGAGGCTACACAACACGGCAGAAGTTTGCTAACTAGTGAAACCAGATACAAACATGGTACTGTATGTTACTGGTCTTGAATTAGCTCCAATCATATTAGATTTTTTTTAATGTAACTACCAGTAATTTTAGCTTTGTAGTCACCACTGCTTCTTTCAAGTGCGAGCTACTGTGTTGTAACGTTAGCTATCATAAATTCATGATATTTCCAACTTTAGCATCGGTATCTTTAAAGGTAAGGTATGAGCTGATATTCTGTAGCCAGGAAAATGTCTTACATAGTTTTTGGCTTCAGAAACCCATACCAGTGCATCCCTTTTTTAACGTTATAGCTGGCTAACTACAGAGGAAGCCTTGAAAACTAGCTAGTTAGCTACTTAGATATCTAATGATAGCAGGCTGATGTTTGCACAAAACAATTTTTAAAAAAAGTTGAACAAAAAGTGAATTAATCAAAGTTCACAGAAAAATGTCAAAGTTTAAGTCACAATTTCCTCCACCTGAGGTTTTCTGCTAATTATTTAATTTATGCTTTTTCTGGTGCAATGCCAACAGCCTAAACATACAGTATGTATACTGTTGTGATATGGGTGTGATTTTGAAGAGCTGTTGCTTTACCAGATAAAATATGACATCAAATTTAGCCTATTAACAGCAATAAGTCGGCCACATTAATCCAACACTTTCTCTCATGCTAATTAGAGAAGTGTGGACCAAAAAGAAAATACTCAGATGTGAAAAATGATTAATATTGTACATACATTCCCTTTTCATGCTTAAAGTGAAATATGCCCATAACCTGAGGCTGTTACACCAGAGCTGGCGACAGTGGTAATTATGTCGAGCTTTAATGTAGTACCTTATCTGAATTTATTTACCATGAATCTCCAGCTCTGATTAAATTATCATATTCAGTTGTGTTTTGGCTCTAAGATCAGATGGCTCACAAATGTTCTGCCTTGAACTGGGTCATCCATGTGGATGAGAAACAATGTGCATGTGTGTGTCTGTGTGGGCACGTATGAAGTCTCTGCCAGATAATAACGACCCCTTTTCTTCCATAAACCAGGCCTCTGAGGAAAACAGAATTATGAGTCTAAATGTATTTAAAATTTAATCAGATTCCCGTTTGTTGAAGTGTCCGTTAGCTGGTCATGTTGTTGCTGTGTGTCTGTTGACTAGATCGGTGAATGCCGATGCCACATCTGATGCCTTTAAAACCAACATCACCCTGTTCACACGGATCCTGGACAGACTGCTGGATGGATATGACAACCGTCTACGGCCTGGTCTCGGAGGTAAGGAAATTATGTTCTACCAGTCAGTGTACAGAAGTTATACAATCTAAAATTTTGTTATGCGACATCAAGTCCCTGTCTTTTTAAATGGTTGATGGCTCATTTGGAGTGAGAACATTTCATTTAGCATCAGCTTTTGTAGTACCGATAACCTTTGGCAGCAATCCCCTCAAGAATGAACTGACAAACACACTCTGTGCACAAAACATTTAGGTTATATAACACTCACTCCACTTCCTGGAAAGTAACAGCAGCCAAACTGGCCACATTTAACCCCGAGGAGGCCTATATTCCTACTATACTACTGTAAAATGCCCTCTGAATCTGTCAAATACCTGGGAAAGAAACTCTGGGTGCATGGAACAACAGCAGAAGTCCAGCAGTGCTGTGTAGTTTAAAGCCAGTTTAACTGTAAGGACATGTTTGAAATCACCGGTATGTCAAATAACTTACATTTTTTAATATTGCATTAACTGATTTTGTATGTCATTCATTGGTCCATTCCTTCTTAAATATTTTTAAAGGAGCAGTTTCAGCAAAGTGTAACTGTTGATTGATTTAGTTGTATATAATTTAAAATAAAATATATAAAATATTTATAATACTTTTAATAACGTCTGGTCTGCCAGAAATTGTCTGATATTTTCTAATATCTGTAATAAGGAAATATAAACAAACCTTGAAATTGCAACATTTGGAGTAGCTCCTGTAGTATTTGCATTTTCAGGCGCACAGATCCCTTTGCCTTTTTGTCATCTCTGGCACAATGGTTAGTGTTGATTCAATGGAAATCTGTCAAGCCACTATTACAGTCTAAATACAACTGAAGTTTGAAACACTTACATATTTCACACAGTGCTGTTGAAAGTCTGAAATCTTTTTTCTCCCACTTTGAGCAAAAATTTGTATCAGCTATCCAATATAATTTTTTTGTATATATATAATTTGAGCAATGGGTGTGATCACTTTCTGGATGTTGTGATCTTCTCCAGTGGCCTCAGTGCTTCTCTCTCCATCCTCACCTCTCCCATCATCCTCCATGTTTGGCATCTCATTTCCAGCTGGCCCCTCATCCCAAAGCTGAGCCCCTCCCTCAGGATTCGGTGCCATTTGAAATTCAAATTCCTGGGGCCATCAGCCCAGCCCAGGAGCTGCCATATGGGGAACAGACCTCCTTTAGCTTGGCAATGCTCAGCCTGTACAACTGGACCTACAGTAATAGTGCTGCTAGTTTATTTTCTGCTCAAAGCTGTGGCCTATTACTACAGCGTAGCTCCAGTATACATCTTACTTTAAGAACCTTAATGATCATATTTTATGGCCTGTTTCCACCAAATATGATTTTATGCACCAACATTTATATTTAATGCATCCCCAGACAATATAAACATTTAGTATATTTCTTGACATTTTTGCTATAGCCCTGGCACTGACAAGATATTTGTAGTCCATTGGGAAATGTATAGGATTTTATCAATAAAGCTGTATTCATTTTGACTGAAAAATTACCACCAGCAGACAGCTCTGTAGAAGTGATTGTGTTAAAGACAGACTCCGGAGAGGTCTGCGATCTGAAAGAAAACTTTTGAATAAAACATTCAAACATAAATTAGACACTTTCCATCCAAGTGTCTTAAAGTACCATGAGCACGTACATTTTTATCAGATTTGGCCCCAGTGGGAGCCAAACCCCCAACACTCAGAGTGTAGTAACAAACTGTACCCAACACCGGTCTGACATCATGGGGCAGAATTGAGTCTAAAAGGGGAAATAAAATGACATCAGATGGAATTTTCCACGTTGTACACACATTAGATCTGTATGTCTCATCTGTGGGAAAAACATGTTAACGCCTCACTAGACTTTGGGTTGTAACACATTTGTAATGGCTGCAAAAGAGCCTCATCACAGCTGCACGAGTGTGTTCACTCATACATACTATATATTCAGGGATACACAATCAGGCCCTTTGATAGTTTCCATGGTTCAAGTAGCATGCCACAAAAAAGGAGGCTGAATCCCAAGAAAATCTCTCTCTGTATGAATCATTAATCCAATCATTTATTTACAGCATCATTACAAATTACCTACATACATACAGAGTGTATTACAAAATTAATTTTCCCTACACATGTTGTCATTTTTGCAGTCTGACTTTGTAGCTGTTCTGTGCCAGTTATATCTATTTCACTCTTCAGTACAAATTTTCTTTTACATATTTATATCTACCACCAGCTTGAATGTGTGGACAAAATAATATGAATACCTGTATAATACAATGCAATGAATCCATTATAACAACTACCTTAAAGGTAGAATCAGTTGCATGTCTGTTATTTTAAATTGCATTAATGGTAAGATCTTATATCAAGGCTGAACATTGTTATTGTTTGGATGTTTTCACTAAACTGTGAGACAGTTCAATCTGCACTCATGAGCATTTTACTCTGTCTTATTGCATTGAACAAGAGATGTGAGTTTTATAGCCACTGAAAATCAAATGATGAAGATGGAAAAGATGAATCTAGGGCAGAGGTTTTCAAGATGAACCCACGTGTCCCCTTGGGGCTGCTGGAGGGTTTCAGGGGAGAGAAAAAACTACTGTAATTCAACAATGAATGAATTACTGTGTGGGTTTAGGCTGCACATTTCTCTTGGATTTATTTATAGCAAATACAATATAACCACAGCCATTTGATTGCTAAATAGGCCTATTGCTTTCAGAAGCAAAAACATCTATCTAATATATCTAATATAGAGCCTATAATGTAACTACTGTGGACTAAATTGTAATCCTAACTGCTTTAATCCTGCATTTATTTTTCATACTTGTCATGTGTTTGGGTGTTGAAGCAATACCAAGCTCTTTTAAAATGCAGCAATTGGTGTCTGTCGCTTTCACTGAAATCAAGCCAGGCTGCAGAATGAATGCAGAAAGCACAGTTGCTCCCACATCATCATTAGTGTGACTGTGAGGCAGCTCACTTCTGTTCATATTCACACTTCTGCTACTAATTTGTTTTCTACCCAAAAAATTTGTCATCTCACTACAACTTCATGCTCAGAGCTATACATTATGTTCCAGCTTTAAAGCTGCACCAAGAAAGAATTTCATTAGGGGAAATCACATCTTGGGGTTGCAAGAGCCATCCTCAATGATAAAGATGCTGTGAATTTGTCATGAGCACCAAAAGAAAAGTTTGTCTTTGAGTACGGTCACTGCTCCGACAGAAGGTGAAGAATAAAATCTTAAAAGGAGAACACAAGCCCTAAACACAAGGAAGCTTCTCGCGTGTCCCAGACTACCTTTTAGAGTTTAAAGAACCGGTAAAATTTTTATTCAGCCATAATAAGTAATCTTTAAAGCTGCATTAATCAATATTGTTATATTGCTTTATTTTAAATTTTACTGTTCCCATCAACCCACTTTCCCTCCCAAAAAAGGAGCTGAAAGGACACACAAGTTCAAATGAATGCTAATGTTGCTTCTTATTGCCTGAATGTTTAAACTGGCAATAGTTTGTTAATGCTTAAATGGTAACTGATGAATTCAGCTTCAAAGGAGCTAATTATAAGTTTTGCTATTGCTACATAGCCTGCATCAGCATTAACAGCTGTTTACTTACCAGTCTAGAATAAATATTGTGAGTTCAGCATCAAACTTGATTCCTTTATTCACCAAGAGCTGTCTCAAGAGGTGGAGAGCCATGTCAGTATCAACTCTTGTCTCTATCACACCTTTTTTTCTACTGAAGTTAGCATGCTAACCAGCTAGCCCCAGCCCATTAAAAAATCACAACACTGAAGTGTAAAACTGATTTTCAGACTTTTGTAATTGTGTAAAGTTTTGTAAAGTTCTAAAAACTCTAATAGCTATTTGCTGTAGCGCTCTGACCTATTTTCTATGCTCTGGCTAAAAAGACATATTTTCCTTGTTTAAATGAATATTGATGAACATTGGCATTGTTTGCAGTGCTGGTAATATTGTGGCGTCTTCTGGTTGGATTCTGGGTGATTCAGAAAGTAATGATCTTGGTGCCATGGTGACTATTTCTGATCATGCTAACTCGAGGAATCCAAATGTCTGTTTTAACAGCTTAAAAAGCTAACATTGCAAACCACACAAAAATACAACCCTTCACCTACAGTGCAAGACTTCAGCTGTTAAAGATATTTAATTATACAGCTGTAATAAACTTTCTTTAATCGCTGTTGTGTTGGCGTAATCAGCGGTAGGGAAAGGAAGGCAACAGTTTTGCAGATTGTTAAAGTTGACTTAACTGCTGCTATTAAAACTTAGGACAGTTTGATCAATATAGTCAAATCAAGCTTGGCTAGCAAAGATTTCATCTCTCTGAACTGATGTCACTCACTCCCCCTTTTTCATCCCATACTCCAACAATGGGGTTTTGTGGATGCTATTTATCTTTGTCCAAACTGGCAAGAGTTAAGTTGACATTTGGATAGTTGCACAGTGGGGTGCACAGTCCCCGAATACAGGCAGGTTGTGTCTGACCAATTAAACATGGTTCAGCAGGCCCATCTGTACCAAATGATTCAGATGATATGAAAAGCATATGTTTACAACTGTTCTTGCTGAAAAATGAACTTAAGGTATTGTCCTTGTTCCTATAAATAAGTGTCCTAACGTCCTCGAGCATTAAATGCACTCTGGGTATTTTTAAATAGTAAACAAGTATTTTTCCCGAGGGCTGTGCTTTTCTAGGTTTTGAGGATGCATTGCAAGGATGCATCATTCATACAGATATGGTTAGTTTTGCTTGTAAATTTGCTCCACTCATGCAATGCAAACTGGACTGGAGCTGTCACTTGGTGGTGGATTTTGTTTTGTTTTGTTTGTTCTTTTTTTTCTGGTGGGGGTTTTGATACAGGTTTGTGATTTTGTTGTTGTGATATAAAATCATTTTCTGTCAAGGCTTAGGATGAATAGATTGAATAGTCATGTGTTGGTCAGTCAACCTTTTTATATATATATATA